GCTGGCAGACTGTTTGATCGAGAGTATGCAGACGACATTGTGCTACTAAATGAAGGTCCAGATAAGTTGCAAGCTTTTCTGGATAACTTGAACGCCAGCGGGCCATGTTCCGTATGCGTTTTGCACCTTCAAAATGTAAAATACTACTACAATACTGGGTTGGTCCAGCACCCAGTCTCACTCTAACTGGGGAAGTAATACAGCAAGTAGATAAGTTTTATCATTTGGGCAGCTACATCTCACCCGGCGGACGCATCACGGATGTAGTGTCAGCTCGCATACAGAAGGCTCGGTTGGCATTTGCCCAATGGAGACATCTGTGGCGCTGTCGCGACATCCGGCTGCCTGTGAATGGTAGTGTATGCCACGGCAGTTCGGCCAGTTCTGCTATATGGAGCAGAAACTTGGCCATTACGAAAACAGGATGAAGATAGACTGCCGGTGTTTGAACACCGCTGTCTACGTCGCATTCCACGGGTCTGGTGGGGCAATCGGGCGAGGAATACCGTGGTTAGGCGCAGAGTTTTAGGCAACCGCGGTCGCCCATTGGAGAAAGTAGTCGACCTCTATAGATTACGTTGGTTGGGAAATGTGTTACGCATGCCACCAAATAGGTTGCCACGGCAAGCGATGTTCGCCGAGGCAAGTAGTGGGTGGAATATAGCCATAGGTGTTCAAGCAAAGACATGGCATGAGGGTATGAAAACCCTGACCAGGGGACTGGGTCACATAGGTCCCGTTAGGCTCGCTGGGTGGGTACCCCGGGATGATCGCAACCGATGGTTAGAGAAATTGAATGCTATGGCTGGGTGTCATAAACAGTGGCGTTTGTGCATCTCAATTTCTTTGCATCACTAGTCCACTGAACTTCGCAATTTTATCTTTCATCCTTCTATTAACCTTCCTGCTTTCCTCCTATTGTTCATCCAAAAGACAGCAACCAAAATCGACGCACGGAAGTGCATGCCTAATGGTTGTTCAAACTGAAACTGAGAGGTGATCTTGGACATTTGACCACTGCTGAGTATCAAAAGGTATTTTGATGAACTAAATAAAAAAATATTTGCGTTTACACGAAGTATACAAATTCTGTTAAAACATTAGGCCCTTGCATTGGACAGCTCATGGATACAGATGGGAGAATCTTTGTCATCCTTTCATCTTTTTTTCTTTCTTTGGTGAAATATACAAAGATACAATTTTCAGAAAAGGGGAAGCGGTCAATCAAAGGGCTACTACACAACACATAAGGGGGAAAGACAGGCGATGGCAGTGGGATTTGAACACACATCCCCGTGTTGACGTCACCACAGTCCCTGATCGAATTTTACTATATGGGTAGTAGTTGATATACTTACCTATGATCAAATCCGGCAAACCGGTGTGCGTATTGAGGAAATCATCATATAGTCCACACCAGACAGTCACAGAAAGACGAGGTGAGAAGTGAAATACACGCCGATTGACACTGGGATCGATATACGTGCCAATAAATGCGAGTCGGATGTACAAATCAGGTCGTATGAGATATTCCAATTCCTATCACGGGTTTTTTCATGACGAAGCATTCCATTAAGTGGGGATGAGAAATGGGGTGGGAACGGGAAATTTAAAATACACATGATGCGAAAACGAGGTAAAAAACAGTGACATTTGAATGTTGCGTTCCAGCGGTGTAGGATAGCAGAACGAGCAACGGCTACGTGCATGTTGGAAAGAATGATGCAATAAAGAGACAAATAGACACAAGGCTGAGATCGGAAAAATTAGCATCTCAACCTGTGGATTAAGCGAACCATAGATCAGCAGATTCTTTTCCAAAACCCAAAGGCTGATATCCAAAGGACTGTTCCACAAACAACAAAGTCTAGTTCAAGGAAAAGGCACACATGTTTCAGTCTGTGAAACAAAGATAAAAAGCTTTTGTGGTTCAGACAACCTGATATCAGCTTCAGATCTTTCAGCAGCCGAGCCCACGATCAAATAACCGAGAGAAAGCAAAAACAGGGGAAAAATAAATGATATGAGAAAAGTAGATGGGCGAGTGCCATTGGTGACGAGAATTCGGTTAGATTACACTTGGCATTAGTCATAGATTCTGTAATATCCGACAACCAAAAACAGGAAGTTTCACACGCCTTGCACGGTACAATTTACTGGTCAAGGTTTGCGAATGTCACACTAGATCCCGATCTGACCACACTTTGCCTTCTTGCAGGCATAGGTGAGAATTACACGGAGGAAGCATGATCAATTTCATACGTGACACAACCCAACCTCGCAATCTTTGAAGGTGACACGCTTACATTTTTGTACAACAGCGAATATTCAGTGCCCATTGTTGAATAGCGACGTAGCTTGTCGGGTTGTCCCAGCAGAGTTGGACAACGCAGCGCAGGTAGCGGTGTTCGAAAACCATTGGTCTATGCTGGCCTTTGACCAACAATGACACCCTATGAACTATAAAAAAGTGATGGCCAGACTGTTACAGGAGTCAATCTAATGTCAACACCTGTGTCAAATATGCCTCAAGTTGATAAATAAGTGTCTCATGGGAAGCCATGAGATAGCAACAAAAGCCGGTGGCGCACGAAAGTTCACCGTTAATATTGGTAAAAAAACTGAACTGAGTGGAACTCCTTTGAATTCATCCATTGTGCAATTGTACAGCTAAGATCTAGGATCGGGACTGCAACCAATCAATGGCGAAATGATAAACGACATCGTCACCACAACCTTATTCATCTAATCGCTTCATAAGTATTATTTATCCGCATATGAATTCTGCGACACATTGCGCAGTCAAGGGGATTCCGGTAGTGGTAGCAAGTTCAGCTCAGAAGCCTGACATTCCTTTGGTCAACAGCAACCCCACAACACTCATCTATCGCTCCGCGAAGTTGCCTGCATTTGGCCAGGGCGACTACTCGGCAACCGCCTGGCAGGCTGAAGATAACCGGGTAACTTGGATCACGGTGAAACGCCGCTTCGCTCGTCCATGCGAAACAGGTTCGAAAAGCTGAATGGATGAGATCATCTTCTTGATCAAACGATCTGATCTGATCGCAAACGCATCACTTCAAAAAACCTACTGTCTTTTTGGGCATTCTCAGTTGTATGAAGGTTAAACATGCATCGTCAAACAAAAAGCCGACCGATGCCTCATGAAATTCCCATGTAGCTGACTCGCCCTATCACAGGAGAAAACCAAAATAAGGGACGAAACAAGGTCAACTCAATTCTGGAACAACACTTAAACCTTTGAAGGTCATCGAGTGGTTACGGTTATCAAAATAGCGTCCGGGATGTCCTGAGACCGAATCGCGTCACCGTTGTCCATCTTCCATATTTCTGTAGTGCCCCGAGCAGCCTTTGTATGGCAGCAACCGCTTTTCCGGAAGTTGGTTGTAGCTTTCTATGCTAAATAAACAAAAAAGTAAAAACATCTATTTCTAAAGGACTAAGCCGCAAACGGAAAATGGCTACAGTTAAATCAATCGGAAATGGTTGGTTCTCGGGGCAATGGTGAGTCGGAATGTGAATCAAGACGTTCTTCGAACGGGTTTCAATCACCACGGATCACTTCAAGGATAACAAGGAAAATATACATGCTTCAACTTGATGCTTGGACGGTGGACAGGCATCTGTGCGCGATCGGGGTGTACAACTCACCTTGAACACAGGCAACAAGGATAGTTCGTGTTCCACACCAACCACATGAATTTCCAGCGTGCGTTTCGATAGAACCGAAAGGACAGTTTGAGGATCTGTGAACAGGGAACGGAGGAAAGATCCGATGCATTGATCGTGCGTGAGAGCAATTACGGTGACCAAAGTTATTGATACTTGACCATAACATTGAATTCCTTTGTAGCACTAGAAGCTAAGCTGCCAGTAGTGCAATGACTTTACAGAAAGATCATTACACCGGTGATACTCAGAGAAATAGATTCTTGATATTATGTAATGGAAACATTCATTATAAAAAAGTTCTATTATTCCAAAGGTGAATTCGTCGTGTATATAGCAAATGAAGTGTGAACTGAAAAGCTAGGAAGCACAGTAGTTTTTGTTATGATGATGACCCTGACGGACTGTTTTTGCAGACTCGACAGTAAAAAAAAAGAATTTCCCGCACCAGTTTTTCAAATTTGGCCTTAATAGAGTCTCTTTTTTAGCTATCCATGGGCAGGACTTTTTGACTTTCTTTCTTGCAGGTAAAACCATCAGGTGAGGTGGACACAGAAATTGTGTTAACGATGGCATTAATTAATTAATTTGGGCATTTTTGTGGCAGGGAAGCCTAATCGAGACCCCAAGCATTTCAAAAAGTATATACATATGGGTAACTGTTTCTACAACTGCGTCTACTAAACTAGTTATAGAAAATTGTTTGTTTTTGGTAGGATAATCAGCTAACTCAAGGTTTTTGTAAACTGTGCTCGAAAGAAGCGATTCCTTAACACGTACACATGTGCTGTTCAATCCACCACCACCACCACCCGGGGGTGGGGGGTTAATGGATAATTTCTGAGCCTAATTGGCACAATTCCATCAAGCAACCTTCAGCACAACTTGATTGAGAATCGATTTACTGAGCTCAGAGGAAAAGAAACGATGATCTGATCCAGTTTCACTTAGGATATCCTATGCCGTACTGTAATGTAAACTTACCTGTACATTCAAAGACTACATAAGAAAAAACTCGATGGAGGCTCAAAGCGAATGAATAACGCAACAGTTAGTGTTCGGTATGCGTTTTGCACCTTCAAAATGTAAAATATTGCTACAAGATTGGGTTGGTTCAGTCCCAACAGTACCCTGACTCGGGAAGTAGTAGAGGAAGTAGAGAAATTTGGTTACCTGGGCAGCTACATCTCACCTGACAAACGCATCACAGATGAAATGTCGGCACGCATATAAAAGGCTGGGTTGGCATTTGCCAAATGGAGACATCTGTGGTGCCGTCGCGACATCCGGCTGTCCGTGAAGGATCTATTGTATGCTGCAACAGTTCGGCCAGTTCTGCTATACGGTGCAGAAACTTGGACATGACGGTTAAGAGATGAATATATAGATTGTCGGTGTTCGAACACCGAACACTGTCTACATCGCATTGCATGAATCTGGTGGGGCAGCCGGACGAGAGATTCTGAGGTTAGGCGCAGAGTTGTGGGTAACCGCAATCGAGTGGTCTCCATCCATAGACTACACTGATTGGGATGTGTTGCGCATATCACCAAATAGATTGCCACGGTACGTGATGTCTGTAGAGGCAGGCAGCAGATGGAAAACGGTCCAGGGCGGTCAAACTAAGACCTGACTGGCATAAGGGTATGGACAGAATTGGTCATATGAATTGCGTTAGGCTACCCGGGCAGGAACCATGAGATTGTGGTAACCGGCAGTAGGCTAGGTGAGTGTAGCATACAGTGGTGCTCCTACAACTACTCATTATTGATGCAACTCCAGAATCTACGAATTCTCTATGTTGTCTTTGACTCTGTTCTCAACATTTCGATCCTCCTTGGGCTGTTTTATTCAAATGGGTAGCCATGATATAGCAACTAAAACCGGTTCAACAAAGTGCATGGTTGGTTAATGGTTGTAAAAACTGAAACTGTTTATTCATGGGGTCGGATTTGAGATGGCTGCACTAAATAAAGTCCTATTAACATGAACAAAGAATTGAACCGAGAGACAATCTATCAACAAAGTTTTTCTAGTTTCATCACGCGCGCATTGTTCGCTTCCGCCAAGTTTGATGCGGATAGACCGTGCAACAAATACACACACACACCATGCACACGACTGACGAGTGAAGCCTTCAGTCCCTTTGATCGTTTAGTATTTCTGTTTGTTTGCTGAGTTACGATCACATCAGCGCTCGCCTCGAAAATGTCATCAGAAAATGATACGAAAAGGTGTGCAGAATGGGTGGACCTTTAAAAAGGACCGTATCACACACCAACGGTTTAAATCATTTTTCGAAGTTTTAAATAAACCTGATCGTTTGTTGATTTCTTTGGTTAGCATAATAAAGCAAACTATTATCTGGGCACATTTGAAAATGTGTGTCTGTGGAGAATTTACACGAATGGATGGACTATGTGTTCAGCTGGTTTACCACTGGGATCAACCAACTTACGTGACTGTTCTAGCATATGAGACAAAATGTAGTAGATAGTCAACGGCCAATGGAGTAAAATTGCCACAGGATTGGACAATCCATGACCCGATAAAACCGGTGCAGCTGGTTCGTATGGGGAAGCGAAACCACGCCACAAGTAGTAATCTTCCCAGTCTGTCAGGTGTACATTTACGACAGAGCATTCGCTCAACCCACTGGATGAGGTTGTTGCAGTGGCCGGGGGTACACTGAGGAGAATGGCAATTGTGGGCGACACATAAGCTCGTAGCATGGCATCTTCAAGCAGTGTATTTGATGTCACGTTCTCCAAGAACCAGCTGATCGGTAAGGAGCTGTCCTTCTCTTCGAGAGCTGTCACACACCACAGAGAATCGAACTGATGTAATCCGGCTCCTGGGGGCGAACGGTAGGGGATAGACCAAATGCAATTAGTGAACATACACACTTACTGACGGCAGATTTGGGAAGGAAGCGGCACGACTAAAAGTGACTCATTGTGCAATGACACCCATAAGCCGTGACATAGATCTACACATGCGTGTTGACCGAAAACATTTACTTACCGACAAAGTACGAGATCTCGACCAACGAAAAGTAATTCGTGAGAATATGACGGAGGCAAACTAAACGAAACTATCGCTGCGATATCGATGAAAGTTTTGTCTGATTAGATAGCAATGCAAATGAAAAACCGAACCACGTGCACGACAATATTCAACACATGGCTGAACATGAATCGGAAGGCTCTTTCCATCACTTGTATGGATAGAGTTAAGGATCTACGCTTCACCAACCCAAAATAAACGGGACCGTATCTAACTAAATCTATGAAGTGTTTACACAATACAATAGAAATGTGCACCGCTACTTCATTTGATTTCAAAACCAGAAGGGATCTGCACCAGTGAAACACGCCAATGAGATCGTCATTGTGGTAATCAAGAAAGTGTATTGCGAAATGTAGTTTTTACATGCAGTATTGTGATTGAGAAAAACTCCGTATTCTACCGCGCATCAAACGAACATCTCGCAAACATTTTGTGTACCTGACTGTGTGGTTTTAGAACGCGAAAGTATTCTCAGTGACCGTATTATTATATTATATTTCACACTTGCCTGAGGCCAGACTGTGTGCCAAGCAAATCATGGTACAAAATGAAAAACGTTCCTAGATTGGCTTGTGGGCTGAACACTGCCGGGTTGCCCAGGCCAAGGCAGGTGAATTCTCCTAAGGAATCCACAACCGGAGCCTTCGGCTAGTCAAAGCCGCAAGGCAGCGGGGCGGTGTGGGAAAACTGCAATCCATTGGGAGCCGGTGTCCAGTTCATCGGATCATACACCCTTCGGACGGGGTCGAACGTCCAAGGTGCACGATACACCTCGGCGCCCAATTGAGTCGGCGACCACTGCCACAACCGAAAATATGTGGATGTGGCTCGTCTGCCTCCTCATGGTTGGTTTGGAATCAGAGTTTTTGGCCAACTCCCCTAGGTGACTTACCAGTGGTTCACCAGCCTGGCTTGAGCCCCGGACGTTTCAATTCAGTTCAGTTCATACAACCATCGACCATGCACTTTCGTGCGCCGGTTTTGGTTGCTCCTTTTCGGTTGCCCATTTGGATGAAGAATATGAGAAGACGGGAAAGTTGAAAGTAGAGTTGAACAGAAAATGGAGAATTTCAATGGTCTACTGTTGGGAGGAAATTGAGATGATGCACGAGCGCTACTGTTTACGACACTC